CACACACACACACACACACACACACACACACACACACACACACACACACACACACACACACACACAAGTCTGAGAGTCTCTAAGCCAGAGACAGATGTATTAATTTAACTATCTATTTTAATAGGCTCCTTGTACATTCAACTAATTTTGATTTGATTGCCTAGATCAGTGTTTTTCAACCACTGTGCCTCGGCTGTGCCGCGAGTGATGGTCCTAAACCTAATTGGTTTAAAAAAATATTTTGATAAGGAATTAAATTTTCTGCAAATGGTATGCCATTTTTGAGCGTCTGCTGTTCTAGTGACTGGTGGCGTAATCATGTAATAATTCCTTATGACTAGATTTTGTATATAATTTTGCATGTTGAAGTGGACATTTTAAGTGCAATTTAAAAGAAGAAATATAAAATATGATAAAAAATAAATTTTTGTGTTTATTTAATTCCTATTCAAGACACCTAAGATAAGATAAGATAAGAATAACCATATTGTTACTATAGGCGGCTACAGATTTGTTTGACATTTTTGGTTGGTGGTGTGCCTCGAGATTTTTTCAATGAAAAACTGTATCTTGGCTCAAAAAAGGTTGAAAAACACTGGCCTAGATTAACTATATTACCTGGATTAACTATATTAACTAGGTTAATTCGATTAACTAGATTAACTATATTGAATTATTATTGTTTTACATTGAGTTTGACTCTGATCGGCCTGGTTTCAGATGCCCACAGCCCCCGTTAACTACACTGGACGGAGACTTTGGTAAAAATGGGGGCAGAACCAGCCGGATCCAGAAGAGAAGAATCTCCCGTTGCCTAAAAATCAGAAAGTATTTCAATGTGTTTGTGTTCCTGCACACGTGTATACATTTTGGATTTTAACGACAAACCTACAGTATTTTTGCTCACATTTACTGGGATTTACCTCTTTACCTGACATGAAATCACAAAAAGAAGACAGCGGAAAAGTTATTGGATAATTACTACTGTGCATTGTTCATTTTAGAAAGTGATGAAGGGAAAACAAACCTGTGGAGGCTGGCGTTTTGGCTTTAACATGGGGATGAGGATCTCTGATTCATGAAGTAAACACGTTACGTTTTGGATCTGCTCACCGGAGACGTTTCTGTGTAAAACTGCACTTTTCTTGAACTCAGTCTTAAGGTTTTTAATGTAAATTGCCAGCATTTACCAACACAGCTTGCTCGTCCTCGGCATCCCAGGGTCTCTCATTGTGACTTTCTATCGATTTTTCTTCTGGTTTCAGTGCTGCTGATCGTTTTCCTACACGTGTTCACAGTTTGTGCAGGGTTGGAATACTAGACTAGAGTCCATACCTCATGGATGGTCTTTAGAAAAGCAGATATTTTAGTATATAACACAGTATTCAAGCCATTTACTGCAATACTATTTCTGCAGTGTGAATGTCACTGTGGTGAATTTTTTACTTTATCAGTGCTGAAACGGCAGAGGTATGAAGTTTAACTTTGTTTAAGACGCATGTGGAAGGACAGTTCAAATGTAAAATGTCAGTGTTCTGAGAGTTTTCTATACTTTTTAAATATAAATATATAGAGGGATAGAAATAAAGCGGCTACAGATTTTTAAAGATGAGTTTTAAAGTCACATCCATTTTGTTGGAACCCAATAAAAAGGCCGTTATTGAAGGGAAAACTGATTTAAATGTTTGAGATGGTTCCACAACGGAGCTTATTTTGGGTTTTGGAGCACTTTACAGTGTGTGGTCAGCAATATTCTGATCTCAAAGGGATGAACTCAGACTCACCTAAACAGACTTTCCTGAACACATCAACCTGGTTGATCTCATATCATGGCGAGCAATACGGAAATTTAGGTTACTGTTGTACAAAAAAACACAAACATGAAACAAAACTCTTGGCAAATAAGACATTCTTTGCACACACAGTTAGGATTTTACATTTCCACGTTTTCCTGACCATGAACAGGCTTTCCTGGCCTGTCTTTTGTAGACCAGCTACCTTTTTGGGTTAAAGGAATTAAAACTTCCAGGACCAATGTTTTTCTGGGACAAACTTCCTGAAGCCAATCCTCCGTATTTTCAGGGATGTAAATATACGGACAGGTTCAAATGAGTGCAGCTATTTTATTGAATTTGGGGGCATTGATCGAACTATTGGAGCATGAAATCAGCAATCAGAATATTGCTGAGCACACACACATTCCCACTAATAACACACAGGGCAGCATCTTAGGACGATGCAGAGAGGAAGTGCGAGAACCTTCTGGAATAATCTGTTTTCCAGATGGCATGACAGCCATGATTTATTCACACAGGCATTCAGCGATGGCAAATTCAACAAGAAATCTGAGCAAATACCAAACTGAACCTCAGTCAACAGAGATGACAAACAGGAGCCTCAGTCCCAGATTTGTGAGCGATGGTTTATGGGTTTTTTTCTGAACTGCTTAGAGAGTCGGGGGAACTTGGGGTCAATTCTGAAATCTTTTGAATTTGAAGTGAATAACTACATTAGATTTAGACATTCATAGAGAACCTTTGCATTGGACCCATTTGGTCGAGATTCAGATTTAAAAGTGAAGGTTGAGTAGACATTTAATCTGAACTGAAACGATGATTGTACAGATGCATTTCTGCCTCTGTTCCCCTGAATGGTGGTACACTGGATTACTGGTCACCATCACACAATGAACGATGGATTTCTCTAGAACACAGAACATATTCAGCCAGTCAGTGCGATGTTCTCATGTTAAACATGCTTTTTGTTGTCAATCACAGGTTTAAAATGCGGATGAGGGCATGCATATATCCAACAGTCGTGCCAAATAGGTCGTTGAAATGTCCATGTTCTTTTTTGTCCTGTGGACTGAACAGACAGAAGCTGCTGCTTGTCTTTGATGGGCAGACACAGAAAAAAAAAACGTATTTCCTAACATCTTTCCTAAGACAAAGCCATGAAGATCTCGATCTACACGGTGTTTGAATATCTTTATAAAGGTTTTGCTAAACACTCTTTAAATGTGGGGTGCTGCTCATGTGTTCAACATTTAAAGGCTTTTTAAGTGTACTTAAAATGTATTGTTGTTGTTTTAAAGTGTGTCATAAAAATGGACCCATACAGAGGCTTTCTAGATCATAAATCCTGGTCCGTATCAGAGGAAAGGTACAGATGCAAAGTTGGTATCCCGACTTTTGAAGTTTGAAATTGTTCCCCATTAGATTTACTTCAACATTTGGAGGCGTTGTTTTCACCTTCTACCATGATTCAGGTGGCAGAAGCCTGTGGGCTTCCCAAATATACTTATCAAACTGTGAAGCATGCTAATAAGAGGCTACGACAAACCTCCAAAGACACGACTTAAGCAGGTGAAAATTATCTTTTTTTAACGTCCCATCCACATGGACACCGATCCTGACTCACAAGAGAATTTAATCATCAGAAAAAATGACTAAGTCTTTCATCTTGAAAAAGAAGGTGGGGAAATGGTGAATGGAGCATTTACCATGGAGCATTCAAAATTATCTCCAAGTCCCATCACAATGTTTGCTTAACCCAAACCTCTAAACGAGCAGAAGCAAGGATGACAGTGGCTTTAAGTTCAGATGCTTAAAAAGCGTTTTACACTCAAGTAATCTATCCATTCATCTGTTATTTCCCATTGTTTTGGTAATCAGACTAATCAGGTCCAGGAGGAATTCTATCTAGATGTCAGAGTGTAACAAACACTCAAATCTAGATAAAAGATGTTTAAATCAGGCGTTATTAAACTGATTTCTTTTTTCTCCTACACTTCCTTTTTCGACAAACAGGAAGTTAGATTAAAGTCTGCTGATGCTAACGTATCTTAGCTAAGGCATCTGAACTTAATTGACTGTAAATGGCTGAATTGCATAATTGTAGTTTTCTCTGGTTTCCAAAAATCTCCTAGAACCCCCATCAAAGGACTCAGCTTCATCCACTGGCCTCCCTGATGGGTTCAGGTATTTACTCATTAATATCCAAAAACGTTTTGTGTAACTTCTGTATCTAAGTGCAAATCTTTGACAGGGTTCACTTAATCAACACCAAGCATTCAAAACCAGACTAAGATTCTTTTTCTGTGGAAAACAAAGCATACATTTGGCCATCTCTGCATGTGAACAAAGAAAGATTTAATGTTTTTATAGCCCTGAAGTCCTGAATGGATTCTTGCTGGAAACAACTGGTACGTTTTTCCTTATAATATATCTTGAATTTTGCGATTTCAATCTCCTTAAAAACAGAAAGTTCCTGTCAGGGCAAAGTGCAAAGTGCAACGCATCCTGTTCTTTTTGCAGTAATACTCCTGTAAATTGTCAATATTTTTGTTTGTTGTCCAAGTCCGTGCTCTGAATTTGTACAATGGAAATTGGTAATAATTCTGAATAATTGAATTTTGAATGTATACTGTAGATATTCCATATACGAAAGAGCACTTTTGAGATGCTTTCTTGAGGATAGCACTGTCACTGTTTTATGGCAGCGTAAAATGAATGTCTGTAATGTGATTTGCACTGAGTGACTAATACAAAAGTCCACAGTTTCTGTTAAATATGTTCTGGTTTCCTTGTCTTCCTTACAGACCTGCTTGTTTGTATGAAAATCCACTATTGTTGAAAGGAAAACTTTTGTCCCCTAAACGTTTTTATGTATCAGGAAAATGAAAAAGCATCTGGTATTTACCAGGTTTTAAGATAAGGGAAACAAAACCACAGGGGAATGGTAAGATTTGACATAAGCAAAACCAGATAACATCATAAAACTGTGAAAGGTTTCTCATCCAATAAATCTCATTTAGTTATATTAACAAAACCTTGGTCTGAAAGTATTGATTATTTCTAAACAATAGCTATGTTCACTGCTCATATTTAGCAAAGAAATATCAAATCTGTGCACTGCCAAAAAAACATTTGCTCAAATATAAACATTTGTTTTGTTCGGAGGATTTGTAAGCCAAGCTAAATTATGCATAATGTCTGGATAATGTTGGATTTTTTAATCAAATCGCATAGCTTAATTCTAAAACATTTCCAAATCCCTCATATACGTGGGTGTCTTTTAAAAGTAACCCTCTGGTATTAAGTGAGTCATTAGCTTGGAAGTGTGTGGGCTGTTAGAAACCAGTGAGTTTGTCTTGGACAGCAACTGTCTGCTGGAAGCCAAACAAGACGGTGGGTTCTTTAAAGAGAATTTAAGAGGAGAGAGCTGAATAAAATCCTGTGAACATATAGGGATGTAAGCTGTATTTTTTTAATGGGGGATGAAAAAAATGAAGAATTGCTGTGAGAAATAAGACAAGCAGTGGTAACAGGTGTCAGCTGAATTTGGTAAGGACCCTTTAAAATGGGAGAGGTGAGTGGGCGGCTGTTAGACTTTGTTTTCAGCTAGAAATCATAGCTTTTATCTGTTTATTTCATGGCTGTGACTCAGACAGAAACAGAGGAAAGGCTGAAGGTCAAAATGTGCCTCTAAAGAGCCTTTTTAAAGAAAAATATTGGCAAATCCACTTATGAAGCACAGACTGTGTATGCATTAGGATTTTCTATAAATCCATTATTTCAGATAAATGGTTGTTTTGAAAATAACTTAAAAACTGAATAAATATTAAGTCTGGTGACGTAAATTTTTGGTCAAATTAGGCATCCCTCCTAAGCACCTTTCCCCTTCTTCATATACAATAATTTGATATTTAAAAAAAGATATATAGACCTAAAGGCCCATAAATTGTAGCTGACATTACAGAGGGCAAACCAACTGATTTCAAGATTTAAATATTAAACCAGTGATATTGCTACATTGTCAATAATTAAAACACTTAATTTGACTGCTTTAATTTGAAAATAAATGTGGTCAAATTAAGTTAATTCAAGAGGGTAAAAAAACGAATAAAATCACATCCGTTTAGCTCGCACGAGCGCGCTCGTTTCTACGGACGCCGGTGTCGTTGCTAACCGGAAGCAGAAAGAATTACTTCCGGGTCGCAGACCGTAAACTACTTCCACGTGAGTTATCAAAACGTGTAAAGTAAGTAAACCGCCCATTAAATGTGTATTTAATTTAAAAGTGGACTTTAAAACGTGAATTGTTCAGCTGCCAGACGGACTGGAGTATTTCTGTCTGAGTAGTTTGAACATTTCGGCTCCTATTAGCTCGATAGCATAGCGCCTAAGTTTGATTTAATGAATGAACCGGTCAATCTATGCAACGTTTTAGGTGGTGTTGTTGTCTCTATTTATCATATTATGCTGATTAGCAGTAGTGTCCCAGCTTAATTAAAACGGAACAATGCATTATCCCCTTACCACAAACCAATTTGTGTCTGTAAGAGAAGTATGACAGAATTCTCCAGAACCAAATGTCATATACATACGTGTTCTGCTTGAGGAATATCTGGAAAATGTAATTTAATTTTAGAAGCTGAGATGGATATATAGTATGCACAGACACAAGAAAAGATTTGGGAATTTTCAAAATCTGGAAAGGTCTTTTATCTTAAATGATTTGATTGATAATCCACATTTACTGGTAACTGGCAGTGCAGGTTGGACATTTCCTCCAGTCTGGGTTCATGTCCAGAAACACGTTCATGCTCTGAAGTGGTGAAAGGATCCCAGACCACATTTTTCCCCCTACCATGCTCTTTTTTTCATCACCGCTGATACCTGTGAACACTAACCTGTTACGATCCTGACCCGTTTTCACTTTTTTTACAAGGTGCCACATTCAGGGAGAGCAGCGAAAGTCTGGAGTTTTCTTTAATATCTTTAGAAGTGCTTTTGTAACTTTTCATAGGCCTAATGTATTCCATTGTTTTTATTCTACATAAAACTTTTGGCTTGTTTTTGCCTGGATTGCTTCGGGCAAAGCGATTAGAACTGCAAAGAGAATAGTGCTGTTAGTTTACCTGATCCTGTACAAAATGAATTAACACTTTACCCATGCTCTTTAAAAATGTGTATTTCTTACTTATTTTCCCAGGATAATCCAGACATCCATCACCACAGAGAGACCAATGACTACAAATATGGAGGGAAACAGTGAGGAAAACATCACAAAGAAGAAAAAGAAGTTAAAGAAAGGAAAACTGTCCCAATCTGAAAATAAAAACTGTACAGATGACGATGGGAGCCAAGTTAAAGTTACAAAGGGGAAGAAATGTAAAGAGGTTGAGCACATGGCTCTAGAAGAGAGTTTTGATGCAGGTGTTGAGAAAAAGAAAATAAAGAAGAAGAAAGTTAAGATCGACTCTTTGGCAGAGGCCAATGGTTGTGTCATAAACGGGGAGGACAACAAAGTGACTAAAAAGAAGAAGAAGAGGAAGCAGGAGCTGTTGGATGAGAATGGAAATCAAGAAGAGGAGGAGGAGGGGTCAATAAACGAAGAAAAGCTGGAAAAGAAACAAAAGCAGAAGAAAACTAAGAATAAGTTTGTTCAGAGTAAATCAGAGAATACAAAGGGAGAAGAAGAGGAGGAACAGCAAACAACGAAGAAAGCAAAACACATTTCAGTCGTCAGCTCGGAGAAGACAGATGAGCACGTTAAAGAAAAGAAAAAAAAGAAAAGTTCTCCTATTATAGACCAAGAAATTACAACTAAACCAAGAAAGAAAACCAGCGAAACCGGAAAAAGTGTCCAGTTAGAAATAACGGAGGGGGAGGAGGAGGAACTAAAACCAAAGAAAAAGTCAAAGAAGAAGCAAACCGAAGTGGAAGAAGATGGAGACGGGTCGACTGCAGCTAAGCTCAAAGGCAAGAAGAAAGCAGAGGGGGGAAACAAAGCCCTGGGCCTGAAGCAGGCTGAGGAAGATGTTAAAACAAAGAAAAAGAAAATAAAGGCTCAACCCATCACAGCGGATGGATTAACTGAAACAAATATGAAGCTTACTGGGCAAAATGTAAAGCCCCTGGAAACAAAAGAGACCAAGGTGGGGGGTGTAAAATCGAAAAAGAAAGTATCCCAATGTGAAGAAGATGAGATCAATTTGGAAGCAATTGACATGAAAAAGAAGAAGAGAATGAAAACGGAGGATGGCGAAAATCTGACTGGCTCAGATGAAGGGAAGACGGAGGGGAAGAAAAAGAGGAAAAGAGAAAAAAGTGGAGCAGCCTCTGTGGAGGAAGCTGAGCCGGAGGAGACGGAACCCAAGAAGAAGAAAAAGAAAAAGGCTAAAGGGGCGGAGGAGGTGTTGGTTAAAACTGAGGAGGGGGGCGTGGAGAACACAGAAAATGATGCGGTGTGGAGAAAGGAAAAGAACTCTCCGGAGGTGGAGGAGAGCATCAGCGCCGAGCCATGTGCAAAAAAGAAGAAGAAGAAGAAAACGGAGGTGGAGCCGGGAGACCAGTCGGTAAGTGATACAAATGCAGCTCACCGGGTGATGAACACATTTCTGTATTAATCTACCGGAAGCCAACGCTCCCACCATCTTGGTTTAAGGTGTTTGTTTTTGCTATGTCAGCTTTTTCTGAGTCACGAATGTATAAAATCAGTGGTCAGAAAACAAGAAATTTTAGGCCGAGAGCCCAAATTTCTCGTTAACGGGATGGATTTTTATTTTTATTTTTTCAAATCTGGTAGTTTTGAGTGTCTTATGTAAAGACATAAGTGTTTGACTCTTTTTGAAAGCAAGATTTAATTCTAAAATACTCCCGTTTAACTTGTGTGTTTTGTTTTTTAATAGGAGGGAAGACGGTCTTTACAAATGGAGGTGGACTCTCAGCCTGAGAAATCGGCCGAAGCCACGGTCAGTGTAACAGCTGGAGCAGCCAGAGGTGGAGTTAAAAAGGCCAGGGAGATCTTTTTCAGCTCGAATCGGAGTTTCTAAAACACACCATCTTCACTTCAAAGTAGATAAAGCTAAAAAAATAAAATAATAAAAAATACTTTAGTGTGTTTTTCGTGAAGTTTGGTCTCTTTTTGGCTGACAGCGACCTTCTGCTGGCCGTCTTTGAGGGTTAATCAGTTAAAATATGCCATCTGAATAGTAAAATGGAGAAATGGGTGATCCTTTTTCTGCATGAAACAGAGCCATGAGTCACGTTAGGAGAACAGACCTGTAGCCTTTTTCATGGCAGCCTCGCAGAAGAAGCCTCTGACTGAACATTTTCCATATTTCTTTGTGAAAATATAGAATTTCCATTTAAAGAGAGCAGCTTAAATTGTACTTTTTATGTCAAAATAAGTCATCCGAACACTTGAAACAAATCCAAACTGAATCCAGGAAGCACTCCACCAAATAAACAGTGGCTTTGGTCAGAATTCCCCTTGGGGATAAATAAAGTATCTATCTATCTATCTAAAGCATTTTTAGACTTTATACATTTGTTTCTTACGGTAAGATTTCAGCTCTTTTCTAACCAAAATGGCCTCTTCTTTCAAAGTTGACAGCTGTCGTCTGCTGGGTGTTGGGATATTTAATGAGACCTGAATCTGTTCCTCTCTCTCTTTTCCTGGACAGGGTTTGGGCCAGTGGAGCACGGCTGAGTTCGACAGCTCCGACCAGAAGCAGAAGTTCCTGCGTTTGATGGGCGGCTTCAAAAAGGCTCCGCCCCCTTCGGCGGCGGCCCCCGGGGGGCGCCACATGGCCATGGGGCGCGGCGCCCAGCAGCAGCTGGAGCAAGGCCTTCTGGGAGAGTTCCAGCGGGCCCACTCCCGCAGGATGGACTTCAGCAGCAGGGGGGCGGGGCTCGGGTTTTCCCCCCCGTCCAATAAGAAGTTCTCCATCGATGCAAACGCGTCCAGATCGGTCCGCTTTGATGACTGATATTTGGTGTTTTAGCTTTTTAACTCTATTTTTCTCTGTACAAAGCGACTACTTGTATATATGCCGTCCTTTTAATCCTTAATCTGAGAACCTGATCTGAAGGAATGATGAGTAAAAAGCTGTTTTACTACAGTCTGACCCCATGGTTGTTGTTTTTTTTGTTAAACCAATTATCGTTGTCCCGTTATTCATACTGAACCGATATCTAAATACCTAAATTCTTTATATTGTAGAGATCTAAAAGGAAACAAACATTTAATCCAAATATCTGAAAAGAAAACCAATGCATTGATAGTCATGTCATTTCATTTTATTCTTTCACATATCAATTGAAGCAAAAAGGTAAGAAAAGTCAACAGTCACTTTACCAGAGACAAAAAATGTAGCTTAACAGGGATTGGCTCATTTACATTTTGTTCTGATAATGTGCTGGAAAGCAAGAGTTGGACTATCATCTGCAGTACTTCAATCCTCCGCCCCGACACCCACCCACCGGGGATCGGTAGAGGCTCTGAAACGGATCCCTTCTGAGCCACAACAGACGGGGAAACATTTTTAATTGCCCATGAAAAAGGCCGGCTCCTTTAGCTGGTCAAACTCTGTGGTCCTCTGCGTCCTCACATGTAGCAGAGACCTGAAGCCTGACGCGGAACACCTGGAAAACAATCTGTTCAGGTGTTTTTCTAGCAGGATTCCTTCAACATTTGTGGTTAAAATTAACACCCTGAGAGAACAGACCTCAGCGGGAGTCCTAAAGGCAGCCTTTAACATCTACGTGTTTGGTTTGTGGAGCTTTGACTTTAAAAAAAAAAAAGAAAAAAAGCTGCAACATAATGAAACATTCAGCCTAAAATTGTTTGCTCTTTGGTCTCTCTTTTCAACCAGCACAAAGAGAGCTGAGTAATTGAGGGAAGCTTAAAGACAGACGACAGGAGTAGCCGTTGGGGGGTTTGGGAGAAGTTGTGTGTTCCAGGAGCTGCGGGGCGTTCAGGCGTCGAGGTACTCCGGCTGAACTCGCGCCACTTTCCGGAACTCCTTGGCGTGCGTGAGGGGGCACTGCATCTCACACCAGCTGATGGGAACCATCTGGGCACCTGAGCAGGAAAACCAGTCACAAGTTCATCGTTAAAATTGAAAAAATTAAGAAAGGAAAACTTTTTTTTTTTTCAAATGTTGGGACCTGCTGACAGGGCCAAAGCTCCAGAAACTAAAGACTGGAGCAGATCAAATCCGTCTGCAGGAAGCCAGGGGTGGATATCCAACCACATCCAAGCCGGCCATTTTGATTAGGTCAATAGGAAGATCCCAGGCAAGAAAATCAGAATTGCTTCGTGGCAATATAGACATTAATTTAAAAAGTGAAATTAATCTTGCAAACACTGAATTAAACTCTATACATAATATTATGTTAAAATAGTGGATGTTAAATAGGTTTGTACAATAAGTCAAGTTTAACCAAATAATATCTATTTCTCACAATTATGAAGGGTGGAGGGTCAGAGTTTGGTTTAGGGTCAGGGTTAAGACATCGTTTGTCTTCCGATTTCGTATAGACGGTAAAGTTTCGTTTCCACCTCTGAAAGCTGCTAGTCACATGACCTAATCAAAATGGCCGACTTGGATGTGGGAGGAGTTGGATATCCAACCGAGGCCCTTATAGGCTGCAGACAGAGGCTGATTGAGCAGATAGAGACGGATAATTATGCCTCATTATACTATAAGAAGAACAATTAGTAAAATATTCTATTCCAACATCTTGTGTTGAAGTGTCGGTTCATTAAGGATAACAGCATCTGGACAGATGTTGATGCTGCAGGAATCCTGCGGCGGTCGCCATGGAGACCCACCTGCCTCGCTGTGAGCCACCACCACTCCCAGCTCGTTCTCCGCCGTCGTCAGCAGGTAGTTGGACTGAACGTCGCCCAGGGAAATCTGGGGTCAAAGGTCAAGGTTCTGACCGCACGCCGACACTAAAGGGTCACAGGCAAACTGCACTCTACCGTTTCAGGATACAACTTTGGCCAACACGATGTCCCCGGGTCTGAAGCTTTTGTACGTCTCCACCTGCAAAGCGAAGGAAAAAAGCAGATTCAGTGAGGGAGCGCGTGGAGAAATCTGCAGACGAACCGGAGCCTGTGAACACACCTTGTCCTTTTCTGTGGCGCGGACGTCTTCTTTTCTGCACAGAGACACAAAGCAAGCTCAAGTTTAGGGGACAGAGCAAAATAACCTGCTTCACACTTGATAGAAGGCTGGTCCCGATCCGATATCTGGATCGGATCGGCCGCTGATATTGTAAAAAAAACTGCGTATCGGCCGGCAGGAGAAAATGAAGATCCAGACTCCAGATCCAGTTTTTTTATCCTATCCGTGTTTCTCTATCTTACCGATTAAAATTATTAATTCCCCTTTGCTGTGTTGTTCCCTCATATCTGGTCTCCTAACCCACAGGTCTGCGTCCTAACCTTGTTAATCTGAAGCTATTGGTAAAAACGTCAACTGTGTGGGATTATTTTATCCTTAAAGATGAAAAAGACAAATAGCTGGATGTAAAACAGAGTTAATAGACTATTTTCTATTCAGGTTGTTTGTGTGTTTTGCCTTTTTAATACAGTTTACAATATTATTTGCACTTTTTACTGTTCACTGATGCCATTTCTGTTATTTATAATTTAGTCTATTTTGTGTTTATCCCTGAATAAACGGGTGAGTGTCTCTTTACCAACCAGTGTGTGTTATTCAGACTCCCCTAATTCAGCTGCTAGTTGTTATCAGAGTAAATCCCTGTTCAACATGAGTCTGAAAACTAAGTAAGTAGATAAATAACTTTAAACTTTAACACATGCTCTGATAGGCCGGGATCGGATTGATGGATGGAAAAACATGTTTCAGCTCATATCTGGAGTAAAAAAATGAGCTAAAGGGCAAACACAATTTGAACTATGCTTGTCCCGATTCGGAGAAAATGCAGATCCAGTTTTTTATGATCCAGTCCGATCCCACACGAGCATTAGCATTAGCATCTCCTGACCCACAGGTCTGTGTCCTAACCATTTAGTTGTTATCAGAGTAAATCCCTGTTCAACATGAGTCTGACAACTAAGTAAGTAGATAAATAACTTTAAACTTTAACACATGCTCTGATAGGCCGGGATCGGATCTGAAGTGAAAAAAGCTGGATGGGGACGTCCCTACCTGATGGTCCCCCTGAAGCGGTCCTTCAGGGGTGTGGAGCCCACGTAGAGGATGTGGACTTTGGCGAACCGGGGGTTGATGCTGGTCACCTGTGAGAATGGAAAAAAAGAACAGACAAAACCCACTTTTTGAGAGCAGATCTGACTAATCGGTGCACGGTGGCATCCTGCCGTGCAGAAGACTTCCTGACCTTGCAGGTGACTATTGCTCCTACGTCAGGGAGCAGCTGCGCCTCTGTTTCCCGCACCACCGAGATCACAGGGAGCTGGAGGAATAAAAACAAGGAGGATTAACAACTGATCGCACATGAGATGGTCGGTTATTTTATAAATAATGCAGTGGACCCACACAGAAAGCACCACTACTTCAAAGTACGACCAGCTAATGAAAGCAGATTTAAAAAACAAAAAGGAAAATCTTAATGGAGGAGATGGACAAGAACCCAACAGTGGAGAAGAGAGGTGGGATGAGAAGTTCCTGAATTAGATAAAACATAGCTTTAACCAAATGTTGACTGATGATAACTTCAAGTCTTTGGTAAAAGGACAATAAGCCAGCAAGACGGCTGATCCTTCAGAAGGCAGCAAAACAGAGAAACCAAGAAAAACAACTCCATTTGACGGAAAGGTGAAAGGAGAAAGAAAAAGAGAGGAAACAAGAACTATCCTGACTTTTCTTGCTACAGTAGGAGACGTTTCTCCCATCAGCTGAACCTACTACTCCTTCACTGTTTCACTCAGTCTGTGCACGTACGTGCGCTCACTCCTGCTGCTCTGACTCAGTCGCCTCGGCAAAGCATTGCGCAAGACCTTTACAGGCTGGTTTACAGGCTGGTTTACAGGCAGCCCTCCACCTCCGCCCCACCCCTCACCTCCTCCCCCTCGTTTTTCCGGAGCACGTATCCAGCGAGTGAGGAGTAAATGTATCCGTGCCGGAGGTAGACTCCGGTGCCCGGGATGCAGTCCTCCACGCTGCACAGTTTGTCACCTGAGCACAGACGGGAGGGGACGAGGGTCAAAATAAGGACACAGAAAGCTTTAATTAGTGCTCCTAATGAGGGGGCAGGTCACTCCCTGCAAACCGAGTATTTCTGGTGGCATAGCACAGAAAATAGTTATCTATTATTACAATTATTGATTCATATTGTGACTGCTTTGTTCAAAATTGCTCTCAGCTTTCATCTTCTCTAGATTTACTCTTTTTTTTTTAACTCACAACCCTTCAAATTGACAAAACACTGGTGGCATAGCACAGAAAATAGGTATTTATCTTTAGAAATTATTGATTAATATTGTGACTGTTTTGTCCAAAAATGATCTCAGCTTTCTTCTTCTCTAGATTTAATCTTCTTTCTAAACTCACAACCCTTCAAAGTGACAAAACACTGGTGGCATAGCACAGAAAATAATTATTTATCATTACAAATTATTGATTAATTCTGTGACTGTTTTGTCCAAAACTACTCTCCGCTTTCATCTTCTCTAGATTTACTCTTTTATTTTAACTCACAACCCTTCAAATTGACAAAACACTGTGCAGAAAATAGGTGTTTATTATTACAATTATTGATTCATATTGTGACTGTTTTTGTCCTAAACTACTCTCAGCCTTCTTCTTCTCTAGATCTACTTTTTTCTAAACTCACAACCCTTCAAAGTGACAAAACACTGGTGGCATAGCACAGAAAATAGGTATTTATCTTTACAATTATTGATTAATATTGTGACTGTTTTGTCCAAAAATGATCTAATCTTTCTTCTTCTCTAGATCTACATTTTTTAACCCTTTAAAGTAACAAAACAACGCTCCCACATGACCTCTCTAATACTGGTGATTTATGTTTCCCAGCTAGTCAAACGCCGCTCTGACGTTTATAGCAGGCTGCGTGTTTCCAGTGGGAGGGCCACGCAGGAATGCGCTGCCCTGCTCCAGGCGATGGGCAGGGCAGCTGGGAACTAGCCCTGCAAAGCTAAACAAACTGGGCAAATCCACGACAATCCCAAACTCATTTAAGACATCTTCACAGGTGCCCTTTTGGCTCTATACCCGGCGGAAGAATCTGACCGTTAAAGAGCCGGAGTGCAACACTCGGTGCCCTGGAAACCAAACCAAACCAAACCGCCAGCCCACGCGGGGGAAACGACGGGGTTTTAAAAAAAACACCAACCGGTTTTAGGGACGTGGTTTAACAACGGAAATAAAACGGACACAACGCCACAGCACGGCTCCTGGGTGGCGTAAAACAGCGTAGAAAAACCGACTCACCTGGAACACACAACTTCATGGGCGACATGTTTTCGAGAAGAGAAGAGAGCCAGCCCATTGGCTGTGACGTAGGCAGGAGTAGATTCTGATTGGCCAGTTCCTAGGAGAATGACAGAAGTAGAGGGGTGGGACTTCCGCCATTACTGTTTAGGCACGTGGATTTTTCTGTGTGGTATATGGAAGTTTATACAGTCTGTAGCGTGACTTCTGTAGATAATACCTCCTTCTACTCCTAGTAATCCAAATAACTGTTGTAATGTTGACAGTATCCAAAAGACAGCACATAGATAGATTCAGTTATTTTGCTGTTTCAGACCTGTTTCCACTTATCTTCACTCCACTACTTGTTTCCTTTCACAAAGTTTATCTTGTCCTGTCAGCTTAAAGTTGTTGTTTTTTTAACATTGCACACCACAGATACCTCTCTTTTGTCCAGGATTCTACTTTTCATTAAGGAATAAATAGCACACCAAGCTGAGACATGTCCAGCTAAAAGCTGTCTGCAAAATGTAAAACATGTTAGGAAAAATAATACAAAAGGATTTATTGGAATACATTCAATTTGATACTGTAGTCAACATATAACATTTTTATATTAAGTAATAGCTTTTGACAAATGAGTTTGCCTTTTCAATCTGATTCCTGCAATGGATTTGCCACAAAATAGATAGATAGCTCTTGTTTACTGCTGACTAGCGTCTCTTTTTCTTTTAATAACCGGAATAACTTGCTGTCAGTTTGAAAGCTGAATTTTATTACATTCTTTCAGTGCAAGAAATTTCTTTATTGGATGACAGGTTTACACTTCAGGCAGTTATTGCTCTTTGAAAACACACGCCCCCTCTGTTGCAATATGTGTGTGGATTGGCATTAACTCATCCGGCCTCTTTTGGGGGAAAACATCGAGACATCAACGTGTTTGCCTTCAAAAGTTGTTCACATATCAACCTAAATGTGTTATCAATGTAAACCATTGTCACTGCCACTGGTTTTCTGAACTGTAGCTAAGCCAAATGTCCTAAAAATGTAGCCTTTTTGTATTGGTATTCAGACTTCGGAGGCAGTTGGGCTCCTAAAGAATTTCCAGAATTTAAATGAGACATTTGCGGCCAAACCAGAACAATATAATCCGATCAGTGTGCCACATATTGCTTTTAAGTTTGATGACAAAAAAGGCCACCAAAACACCACTAATCAAGATACTTTTCCCAAATGTCTTTAAAGAGGTTTAGATTTGCCTGGATCCACTTTGTGACAGTTCCTTTTGAAATAGTTCCCAGACAGTTCTGAAGCAAGGATTACACAAACTTTCCAGGCCTTTGTGGACCATGTTTGACTTTTGTGACTGTGTGGCTGGCATCAAACTGAGGACTACATTTTGAATGTTCCAAGTTTTAACATTTGATAAGTTGTCTTTGTGCTTCTGTTAAATTAAACTAATTCAAATGATCTGCATATGATGTGACGTGATGTAGTAAAATCGCTCTACGGGCTAAATGTTTGTTACCATTCATACTGCTGAGACAGGAAGGGCAGTCGTGCTCAGAGAGGATCAAAAGGCACTCAGGAAATCATGTCACACAACTTTTATTAGTTTTTTCTCACAATGCCACAGCAAACAGAAATTCAGCAGTGCAGGACGATTCGGCCTGCCTCTCTCAGTCAGCAGCCAGTGTTAGTTTGTGGGTTTACTGTTCCCACTGAGCTTCACCTACAGGGATTGTAAATAAGGACAGCTCTGCATCGGGGGTCTACGTTTGCTTCTGTTCTCTGGTCCCTAATGTTTCCATTTTGGTCAGTGTTGAAACAATACTCGATTCCCTAATAACGAAATGCAGACTTCGGCCTATCGCAGAGCAGAGATCAATCACATCAAACAACCTCTTTGTGAAAGCTGGGTACTACTCATAAAGTGCACGCTGTGTGTAAGTTTGTGTTGACTTGACCTTAAATGATCTTTTTTTCCCTTGTTTTTGTTGTTTTTGTTGAGTGCTCGTGATTGATCGATACTCTAGGCTCCGGTTTAAGACCCCGTCTATTTCTTGGCTTTGCCCTGAGCGGCCACAGCCTCCATGGCCTTCTTGACGGTCTCCTCATCTCCCAGGAACTGCATGGGCCCCACAGGCTTCAGGTTCTTGTCCAGCTCGTACACAATGGGGATGCCCGTGGGCAGGTTCAGCTCCATGATGGCCTCCTCCGACATCCCTTGGAAACAGAAACAAAAAGAAAGCGCCTCTGATCAATTAACCTGAAGTTTGAAGGCTTAAACCAGCTGAGTAAAACACTGGAATTCACATACATAATTCACAACAAAAATTGAAACAATACTCTAATTAGTTGATTTAAAAACATTCAACATGGTATGTATAGATTTTAATCGGAACATTTCAGTGGTATGTCATCATAAAGTCTCTCATTGCTGGTTAATATAAAACTTAGGGGGCATTTTCAGTCATTTATGTCTTATAGTTTAGTGTGTTTGAGCCTGAAAGGCCCGCCCTAGGATACATTGTTGGTTTACAAAGATACAATCCCAAATTAAAAACAGTGCAATTTACCTATTAACAATACATAAATTAGCTATGGTGACCTCATAGAGAACACTGGCTGAAATTAAAATATCTTAATGATATTTAAATGTGTTTTGTCATCGTGTGGTTTAGCAGAGGAAGAAAAGTTTGGCCTCCAAACTGAGTGTTAAATGGAGGCACAGGGTGTTCTATTAGGAAAAGCTCTGCCCAGATTTGGCTCAGGACGCTGGATGACATCGTCTCCCATGTTGCAGAAACTTTGGTTTCTATGTTTGATGCTGCAGAACTTTTGAAATGGACAGAAAGCCAAAAACGTTCACATTTGTAACGGAAACTCGGATCTGCCTTTCATAACGACGGTTGGACTTTTTCCACCACTTAATTATGTTAAAAAAAAAGTATTTTCTCTCACCCTCCAGATGCTTGACGATGCCGCGGAGACTGTTGCCGTGGGCGGCGATCAGCACCCGCTTTCCGTCCTTGATCTGTGGGACGATCTCCTCGTTCCAGAAGGGAAGCGCCCGGGCGATGGTGTCCTTCAGACTCTCACAGCTGGGCAGCTGCTCCTCCGTCAGGTCAGAGTAACGGCGGTCCTGCCACCAAGGAGAGAAAGATCTTTGTTGTCAGCTGTATCGCAATCATTTGCATTTCCATTCGGCAAAGAAAAAAACTTCTTCCGAGCCGTCACCTCTATATTTAAGCAGGCATAAGACTTTCCTTTCTGATAGAGCTCATAGTCAGAGTGAGTCCACCCCTCGTTATGCTGCTATGGGCCCAGACTGCCGGGGGATTTCCCATGATGCACCGGGCTCCCCTCTCCTTTCTCTCTCTCCCTCTCAGTGCAGCCTCACTCCATTAATGATGTCAATGACTGGACTTTTTCCCTTTCCTGTAGTCCTGTGCTTCCTCCTCCCTCTCCTCTCTCCTGTATCACTTCCTGTAGATGTTCCTGGATCTGTGGGGTCTGGATTTGGACCCCCGTGTTCCTACTCTGCTACAATTACAGCCACTGTTCATAGTCTTATTGCTGTTATCACTGCTATCATTATCATTAATATCAATATCTGTACCATTTTTCATTCAGTCTGTGTGTTACTGTGTAGGCTCCCTCTGTCCTTCTCTCTCTCTTTCTCTCTCTATTGCCCTCTCTCTCTCTCTCTCCCAACCGATCGAGGCAGATGGCCGCCCCCCTCCTCTGGTTCTGCTCCAGGTTTCTGCCCGTTAAAGGCAGTTTTTCCTTCCCTGTGTCTCCTAGTGCTGCTCTTGGTGGGAATTGTTGTTCTTCTGTAAATAACTCAGAGTGGGTCTGAGCTGCTCTGTTTGGAAAGCTGGGAGGTAAATGTTGTTGTGATGTGGCGCTATAGAAATAAAACTTAATTGAATTGAATTAACAGGCTGACGATGTGACAGAAAATGGAGTTTGTTCAGGACAGAGCAGGAGGTGTGTGAGTGTGTGATGTGTACCTTCATGACGTGCTGTTGTGATGTGGTGCTTTATAAGTACTGTAATGTAAAATTGAATTGAACCTTGCTGATGGCCTGATAGAAGTCGTGGCCCTCGTCCATGGGCGGTGGCGGGGTGTCGAAGGAACGCCTCCAGATCTTGACCTGCGCCTCTCCGTGCTTGGCGGCCGTCTCGGCCTTGTTGAGCCCCGTCAGGCCCCCGTAGTGGCGCTCGTTCAGCCTCCAGGTGCGCTGCACCGGCAGCCACATCTGGTCGATGCTGTCCAGGACGAACCACAGCGTGCGGATGGCCCTCTTCAGGACGGAGGTGTAGCAGATGTCAAACTCATAGCCGGCGTCTGAGGGGGAGCGGAAATAAAGATATCCTCAATCAGACATCATCAGAATCCAAAAACAGCATCAGTTTTAAAGAGTTTTGTGATCAATAAAGTATCTTTCTATCTATCTATCTATCTATCTATCTATCTATCTATCTATCTATTAATTTGTCTTGCAGGTCTGCTCCACATAACAGTTATCTCTAAAACATTCAACCCCCACTCTCCATACACACGCACACACATACACACAACCATTTCCTTCTGCTTAGTCATTGGCCACCTCGTGCTGGCAGACTGAGCTCTGCAGGATGCCCCTCCAGAGGAGTTCTGGGTCACAGAAAACCAGTGTGCACGTGTGTCACTAAAATCAAATGAAATCTTCTTCCTTATTTTTAGTTTTATTTATTCGTTTATTTGATAGGGACAAGTATGTTTCATGAAACATGTCACACACTACAACATTTTAGCTAAGGCTAATTCTCAACGCCTGTCCCCAGTTAGGCTTTAACACAAAGTAAAAAAAAAAAATCCCTGAATTTCCTCTCTGTCTGAGGGATAATGTGCATCCCAAATGCATGCACAGACATGCACTGATCCATTTGAGGGGGGTTGGAATGTGGCAGGGGGGGCACATAGATCCTATAAATAAAGGCTTTATCTCTGATGGATTAACCAGCAGAGAATAAAGTTCGTAGCATCCCATTTCTGTCTCTGTAAAGAATTAATGGCAGCCAGCAGTCCTGTTTAGGGTTTAAACATCATGAGGACACTTCCGGGAGTCTCGTGCTTGCTCGGTCGTCTCCCCACCCGAGATGGTTGCGTAATGGCTGTGTGTGAGAGAGGCTTAACCGGAGACAGAAAAAGCCCGATTAGGCCCGGTGACACCGGCTGGAAGGCCTACCTTTGAGGGCCTGGCCCCCCCTGCGGGCCTCGCGCTCCCCGGTCTCGCTCAGGTCCGCGTCGAACCATCCGCAGAAGCGGTTCTCCTGGTTCCAGCAGCTCTCCCCGTGGCGGATCAGCACCAGCTTGTACGCGGCCATCCCGCTGGTTCTGCCCTCTGTCCGGTGGTTCCGGTGACCGTGGGCTGAGGGACACCTCAGAGATTTGGGATTAGACCCGAGTCCTCGGAACCAGCACAGCCGGCCACAAAGCGACGGAGGCGGGATGTTGGGGTTAGATTTTGGGGTTGGATTTTGGGGTTGGATAGGGTCTGCAGAATCGCCTGCTCCGGTTGAGTTTTTCTGACACCTCCGGTGGTGGATTTCCTTCCTTTTCCTGCTGCTTTGCACCAATCAGAGGGCGAGCTGCGGGTGGAGGAAGAGGAGGAGGAGGAGGAAGAGGCAGGAGGATGCGCACAGCAGCACGTCCGCAGCTGCGCATCTGCGCACGGAGAGAGCTAAAAAAGCCTCAAAATAGCTTAAATGATCACAGCAGACATTGAAACATGTCTTCATGTGTACTGCACACTTAAAAAAAAAAGATTTGGCATCTGGGTGCGGCTTCTCAATAAAGAAAGTTCAAATTTAACTTTTTTGCTCGTTAGTAGAAAATAAAGCACATATTAGTATATCATAAGAAAGACATCTGGATCATAAAATGAGTTAAATGCAGTTTGGAATAATTGCATTTGGTCACATGTCAGGTCATGTGAAAACTGACCCTGAATGGTAACAGAGTTTTTAAAGAAGTCCACCCTCTGATTCATTATCGTGACCAACCACCTTTTGCTGCAATAACTTTTTGTTTTTGTCCTGACCAAAAGGGGTCTAAATGTCCTCCTGAAACTGCGAGACTATTCTGATAACAGAAGTCTGGTGGTTTTATCCTGCTGGGCCACCAGAGGGCTCAAAGGTCTCACGTATCCATCACGTCTTTTTTGGAACATCATCAACATCTTTTGGTGTTGACCAAATGTGATTGTGTTTATTTTTTGATTGGAGGTTCTCTGATGAGGTTTGGCACATTGGGGGTCACGAACCGTCCTAGTCAGGGGGGAAATAGTGATGTTTCTGCTACTTGAATGGTTTTAGCCTCTGAAGTGTTTAGCATTACACAGCAGGCCAATAATTGTCCTTTAGGAGAGGTAATGGCAGTTTTCTCACAGATATTTCAATCCATTTTTTCCTCAAGTGATCAGATGTATATTTACATCCACTGACAAACTCTTAATGAATAAATGAGCTTCCTTTCATTAATGATATGTACAATGTGCTGCCAAATTTTTAACGTTGCATTTGTCTTAAAAGGCATGAGTAGATATTCTAACCTTACCTTTATTGATTAATCTGCTACATTTATCTATCAGAATAATCCATTGTCTATTCTGATCATTCCTAGTGGCATTAACAGAATAATATTACTTGTTTATCATATTAAAACAATGGTTTTCTTTTGGATCTTTTCACGTATTGTTGGCGAGAAATATCATATCTCTCCATATTTTCTGTGTGAATTGATAGATTAATTGAAGTCAATCTGTGCTGTAGCACAGGTCTGAGTCTGAGGTTGTTGGTTAGAGTTCTCACCTTCACCGTTTGCTGCTCTTTGACCTCAAAGTCCTCTCATAGTTTTCAGTAGCCATGTCTAGTGTCTTTGTACTTATAATGGGTGCATTTGTGCCAGTTTAGGATGATATTTAATTTTTAACAATTTATCATTTTATTGGTAGATATCATGGGAACCTTTAGAAATATTTGGTTTAGTGGATATTTTGAATAATTTGCACACCCACTTTTTGGTGGTTTGACTAAATAACGATCAAACAAAGACTACACAAGCACATACACACAATAAAAGACGATCAAACTGACAAAAAAGTACCACATCTGAACATCTAAGTTATGTAGTTAATTATATCATATTTTACATTGAATAATATATTTTTCTGAATGCATACGCTTTTTTTATCTTAAAGACAGGCGCGAATAAATTATTAGATTTATCCCTCCATCTTCCGATAAGAAACAAAAAGTCTCCAGTTACATAAAACACTCCTAATTGCTCGAAATGTGTATCAAAAGCCTTTTTGTGAAGTCAATTGATTGGGTTAACTCTCCTCTCATATGTCTTCCGGGGGCGGGATGATGCTGTCCAATCAGCGTTGACCGTTTTGACGCTGACAGGAAAATCAGGACGCTGATTGGTTACGTATGTAAACACTCAACCGTTTCCGCCTCTTCCCGGAAGCTGACAGTCATCTGATTTTCTCCTCTCCCGTGTTTGTTTGATAGCCCCCGTCACTGTTAGCAAAGACAAAACAACCGTCCCACCTTCTTTTTATTTGTTTATTTTTTGTGATTCCCCTCTTTTTTTTCGGTCTCTTTTGCGGAGGATACGATAACTCCTCGTCAGACCTCCGAAAAACATGGACGAGACGAGTCCGCTTGTCTCTCCTCTCCGGGATTCCGGGGATTTTAGCTACTGTCCCACGGAGCCCACCAGCCCCCGGGGCGCGTTTGGAGGCACGCCGGGCTCCGTGGTGCGGATCCCGGCGGGCAGCCCGGGGCGGAACCGGGAGAGGCAGCCGCTCCTGGACCGGGACCGGGGAAACGCGCCCCGGGAGCCCCACCGGAACGAGTTCCCAGAGGATCCGGAGTTCAGGGAGATCATCCGAAAGGCCGAGCGAGCCATAGAGGAGGGGATATACCCGGAGAGGATCTACCAGGGATCCAGTGGGAGCTACTTTGTCAAAGACTCCCAGGGGGTAAGATCCCTAAAGGGCCCACATCTGGAGCAGCTGTGTGTCTGATTTTGTGATCTGTGGTGTTAAAGTTAGTGTTTGTGTCAGTGTTTGTTGGAAAAGGCCTTATCTAACCTGCTGGTGGTGACTTGGCAGATAAAGTGGGAGACACTCAAACGCAACATGTACCCACATTTAAACGGCTGATTTTGTTTGTTTGTTTTTAATCAAACACAAATGGCCGCTTATGGAGGCACAGCTGCCTGTTATCTAAATGAACACACCTTTCAAACACATGAGGTGACTACACATGTAGTTTGACTTTTACAAAGTCAGTCATTTGATTAAACAAACAGCTGTTTTACATATTTTTTGCCTATTTTTTTGGGCCTATCGCGTGCAGTTTTCCACTTTCTGTCCACAAAGAGTGACAAAATATCTAAATCAGTTCTTCTTTAGCTGGTTTTCTGTCCTTTTTAACGCATGTTGCCATTTTAAGAAAGCAACACAAGTCCTTCATTTATGTATAAACACTAATAATTCTGAATGTGACATAAATAAACCAGTTAAGCAAACAAATGTATTTAAAACTGAACATAATAACGCATATATTTGGATGCGTTTTGGCCCAATTGGCTCCACCGCCCCCCCAAAAAAAGTCTTAAGTCATCGGTGTGTCAGGTGTCCATCTTTTCCGACGGGTCTGCTGAGGAAGGCGTTGTGTCAGCACACACTCAGACACAAAACGTCTATAGGGGTCTATTTACGTCCTCAGGTGGTTGTTATTGGGTTCTTTCCCCCCGTAATGGACTCATTTCTCCAAACAAACCTCCAGGTATTTAATGAAGCAGAAAAGGCTCGTCTGTTGGACCCGTTTTTTGCAGCAGGAATCAGCGTGAGGAGGCCGTAAAATGCATTTGCCAGACTAATGATTGGGCTCTCTGATAGGGAAAACCGGATCCAATCAGAGTCTTGAGTAACTCACGGGCCTTATCAGCCATGTGTCTGCAGCCTGAGGCAGAGTGGAAGGGATGGTGTGGACTTTGGCTAGCATCCTCACACTTTCTTTCTTTCTTGAAATAAAAAGAGCTCATCTATTCTGACCGTTTTTTCTGTTCCGACCCCCACCTCCCTGTTAGTCACCACCGTGCTAAGTAGTCATGTGCTGCCTCTCTGTGAGGGTGTAATTCTCCTGAATGACGAGGGCTCGTGTCGTAATGGGTGCGAGTGTGTGTGTGGGGGACACACACCGGCGTAATGCGACATGTGATTTCCATATACGACTGTGAAATAGCTGCACGCCCTGAATCCCTCTTCTTCTTTCCCCAGCTTAAAGTCTCAGAGTTTTAGTTCAGAGCACCAGTTCAATTCACGCCATTTAAGATGGATTTCAATAGATTTAAAGTCTTAAAAGTGTAATTGAAGCCACTTTTGTGCTATAATCCCACTTTCCCTTACTCTTTTTTTATGTACTGTGGAATAAAATGGGATATCGAAGGAAAATGTTGTCTTTGAATTGTTTAAAATAGTGAACTTACACACCTTTAAACCTACTAAATTTCGGACTTTCTTCCATTCACAGAAGATCATCGGAGTGTTTAAGCCTAAGAACGAGGAGCCCTACGGGCAGCTGAATCCCAAATGGACCAAGTGGCTCCAGAAGCTGTGTTGTCCCTGTTGTTTTGGCCGAGACTGTCTGGTTTTGAACCAGGGATACCTGTCGGAGGCCGGGGCCAGCCTGGTGGACCAGAAGCTGGAGCTCAACATCGTCCCCAGGACCAAGGTAAAGTCACACAGTGCGGGCTGGACGTCGCCAAAGATCATTCCAGGTCAACTCCAGCCCACTTTTAAAAAGAACCCTGTTTGAATTCTGATTTCAAACAAACCAAAAATCAATCAATCAAAGTTTATTTATATAGCACTTTACAACAACCGGAGCTGACCAAAGTGCTTTACAGTCATAAAAACGGATCAAACTATCGAAATATACAAAGACAAATACATTGGTGACAGAACCCAGTTTACAGAGATTTTACGTGCAAAAAGCCATTCTGAACAAATGCTTTAAAAAGATTCATTACTTCCATTTTTGATCCGGTAAACATGTGGCTCACTTACTTTCCTTATTGTTTGAGCTACAGACTCCCACATTTGGTTAACAAATACTCCTGAAACCTCCTTGAGGGCAAAAAAAGAGCCTCAGAGAGCTTTTAGCTGTCCCAAACTCACCACGGCTGTCTTCACTTCCTACATATGTTCGTTTTCTTCCTTTTTTTTTTTAAGCTTCTTGTTTCCTTCCACTTGACCTTGCTGCTCGGTCAGCCATCCATCTGGATAATCTGTGACTTTTACCGCATAGAAACAGGAAAATGTTTAGTGAGCTACATTTCGAGCATTATCCTCCATCTTTTGGGGGTATTTATCTCTGTAGAAAGCCATCCGCATGTGGTGGTTCGTCCCCTCCTTTGTCGGGTTTCAGCTGCCAGCTTTACTGGAGTCCTTCTTCCTTTCCACAGCTCTGGAAGAGACCCAGCTGCCAATTAAAGAAGCTATTTTATAGATTACATTTTAAGAGAATTGGAGCAGTTTTCAAGCTGGTTCAATCTGACAGAAGATGATCTTTAGAAAAATGGCTAATTTTAGGTTTTGCTAGCAAGTCACATGAAAAAAATACAACAAAAATGTTAATAATGAGCTGTTTATGTTAGACTGGCTTCAGAATAAATATGTTCCACCAATAATCTATGACAACAATTTACAGATTGGGGTTTTTTTTTTTAATGTGTAGGCGGAAATTACTTTAAATCTCAAAGTTGCACCTCTACCGATGATTTCTAGTTTTGGTCTAGAGTTTAAATCTGTGGAAACGTGACTGTAACCTCTCTTAAAGTTGCCCTGGACCCCTTTAAGATTGTCGATAATTCTTTAACCACCAGAAAAGTGAAGAGAAATAAGGGAGCTGAATCAAAAACATGGAGCCTGAAGCTAAAAGTGGAGTTGACATGGAAACCCCCACAGAGCAGAGAAACCGTTTAAAAGCAAACGGCCCCTCTGATTCAAATGTCCCGCCTCAGGTGGTGTATTTGGCGAGTGAGACCTTCAACTACAGCGCCATAGACCGGGTCAAGTCCCGAGGAAAGAGGCTCGCCCTGGAGAAGGTCCCCAAAGTGGGTCAGCGCTTCCACCGGATCGGACTCCCCCCCAAGGTAAACTGACAGACCTAGATCAAATTCTATACGTCTTATACCCGGTTTAAGCTCCTCTGTTAGAGGGTTTGTGTGTTGATTGTTAACTTTGCTTCAAGAGTGGCTTTTGGTTTAAGTGGAAACACACAGATCTGGGGTCTAGAGCTTGTACTATATTTTTATTTTCTACATTGTATGTCCTTACTTATCATAGAAGTGTTGTGAACCAAACACAAAGGCAAATTTCTTGTAAGTCAAAAACCTACTTGGCAATAAACCTTATTCTGATTCTGATTCTGATACCCACATAAATACCATAGAGGCCTCACAAAAAGAGCCTCTGATTGGTGATCCTTTAAGCATCTGTTGTAATGAGGGATTTTATAAAAGAGTTGTGATTTCTGTTCCTTTCCAACAGGTGGGCTCCTTCCAGCTCTTTGTGGATGGGTACAAAGACGCAGACTTCTGGCTGCGGAGGTTTGAGGCCGAGCCTCTTCCCGAAAACACCAACCGGCAGCTGCAGCTGCAGTTTGAGAGGCTGGTGGTCCTGGATTACATCATCAGGAACACAGGTAGCTCCCAGAGAGAGCAGCAGCTTCCTCTGCTTTTATCCAGTCGTTTTCCTTGGTTTTATCAAATGGTCCCAGTCTGAATCTAAGCCTTCTTTTGACATCCAGACAGAGGAAACGACAACTGGTTGCTGAAGTATGACTGTCCAATGGACTCTGTTGGAAATAAGGTAAGGGGGGCTGGTCTAAAATGGGTTTTTATGTCACTTCTGCAGCAGCTTTTAGCCAAAATAACACACAGAAATGCTATGGTCCTCCAAAGGCCAGTGGCGGTCAGTTAGCATGCTGTTAGCACAGGACGGGACACACCAGATGAGGCTGAAAATAAATAGATTTCTCTCACAGCTGAAGCTGATCCGTCTCTTAGACTCAACCTGGGGATGTGTGAAGTTGTTAAAATGCTGCACCACAGACACACAAACCGCTCAGGCAGAAGTCAGGAATTCCTCACATCGCACATCAGGATATCACTTCCGCACATCCTGGGTTTCAGAGTCCATTTCTTTGTTTTATTTCATTTGTTTCATTTTTTTTCCAGCATCACGTTTGTCAAAAAACAAGATTTTTTTCCACATAGAACAAGATTTCTACATTAACATTTCAAGTGATTCTGTTCATCTTTTTACTGAATCTTCTTACTTTTTTGTGTTTATTTTTCCCAGGACACAGACTGGGTGGTGGTGAAGGATCCCATCATCAGGTTGGCGGCCATAGACAACGGCCTGGCCTTTCCCCTTAAGCACCCCGACTCCTGGAGAGCCTGTAAGCACCAACACATATGTGCTTTTTAACTCATTGGCTGCCAAAGACGTCTATAGACGTCTTTTATGTTTTTCAATGAGAGTGACTTGGGGGACGATCTGCTAAAGCTTGTCCATAAATATCAGGCTTCTAGACAGAGTATGTAGTAACAAATTGACCCTCTAGGTGGCAGTGCCACTTTTGATGGGAGATGAGCATAGACTGTAGGCAAATAAAAACAACGCAATGGTTCGCTATGCGAAAAATGGCGCCAGTGAGGCGCAAGTCGAAGAAGAACGGAATAAGGTGGAAACTATTTTTTTTTGCTGATGAAAGAAGAGAGTCTACTCTTTCTTTTGGTGTGTTCGGTGTTTACATAGTCATAGCACAAACTATTCTGTGGCTTTTGAATGAAAAATCAGTCAAAATGCTCAAAAAACTCTGGCAGTATGGGACTCTCTGTTCTGAAAATGGCTGCCAGTCAATGAGTTAAATGACCAATGACTGCACTTGATAAGTCATGTTCTCATCCTCTGATCCCCAGATCCCTTCTACTGGGCATGGCTGCCTCAAGCCAAAGTGCCCTTCTCCCAGGAAATCAGAGAGCTGGTCATCCCCAAACTGTCCGACCCAAACTTCATCAAAGACCTGGAGGAGGACCTCTACGAGCTATTTAAGGCAAGGAAAGCTTCATCATCATTCACGCAGGAGTTAAGTGTGACGTGGGCTGTTGAGGTGAATGGGAGGAACTGAGAGTCGGACCGGGGAGGATCCGGGTGAGGGGAGACCGCCCGGTGTCTGGAAATGTCAAATAACGCTCGTGTTTTCTCCGCTCAATCTCACAGAAAGATCCCGGTTTCGACAGGGGGCAGTTCCACAAACAAGTAGCTGTCATGAGAGGGCAGGTGAGTCTTTTTTATTTATTTTTTTTAAACGGCCACTCGTCCCTAGGGATGGGGATCGAAACCCGGTTCTATCAAGGACCCGGTTCCACTTTTTTTCAAAACCCGAAAATCAATACCGTTTGGGCTTATTATCGATACCACTATCGAGTCTGGTTGTTTTTTTTTATTATTACAATAGTAATTGTGAAATCCGTGTTGTAATCGGCAGCATACCAGCTAGTTAGCTTGAAAAGTAAATAAAGTTTCAGACGTGTTCAGATTGGCCCAGTAAAACGACAATTAGGTTATCATGATGCGTTCAAGTGTAACGTAAAGAAAAGGGAAATTGAGTTTTTGGCGAGAAACATGAGTAATACAGTTGTATATTGCTCTAATTATTTTAGAATATATAATTAAACTACTGATGCCAACATTTATTAAAAATTACATTGAATTTAAAATACAATTATTTATTTGTTAAATATTGTCGCATGGTCTTTCCACCAAATAACAGAAAAGTATCGATAGTGGTATCGATGAAGACTCGGATCTATAAGGAGAATCGATAAAAGTATCGATATCAATAAATATTAACGATCCCCATCTCTACTCGTCCCAGCTGGAGGAGAGCATCCTCCATTTTTATTTCAGCATCTCATCGCACTAAACCTCCCGATTCTGATCTGACAAGTCTCCCCCCCCCCCCCCTTTCCCGTCCAAAGATCCTCAACTTGTGCCAATCCCTGAAGGACGGCAAAACCCCCCTCCAGCTGGTCCAGATGCCCCCGGTGATCGTGGAGACGGCCCGAGCCCCCCAGAGAGCCAACAGCGAGTCCTACACGCAGAGTTTCCAAAGCAGAAGACCCTTCTTCACCTGGTGGTAGGAGGGGGGGCAGCAGGGACTGTGCACGGACTGAGGAGAAGTTAAAAAAAACAAACAAACAGAGCAAGGCTTTTGTCCTGGAGTTAATCCTCACCCCCCCCCTCCCCTCTCCTGGCGGTCATCTTAGGACAGAGGGGGATTCGGCCCTGCCCAGGTGAGGCTAAAGGAGGGGGGCGTGGCAGCAAATCCTCCCCGTTGGCTTCTGTGCCTTGTATGAAAATGGTTGAAAAGATTTTAGCTCGTAAAGATCTGCTCTGCTCTCTGAGAGCTGTTTTGGTTGGATGACATTTCTCATTTTCGGCCCCCCACGCACGCCGGTCAGAGGCCTACCGTGTTTGTTTTTTTGGACGGGCAGGTTTTTGCATTCCATTTTCCTTAGTTTGTTCTTCTTTTTTTTTTTTTTGTCACACCTCTTTGCCTTGTTTCGTACTCACACTCATGCCCCCCCTCACACAGTTAGAAAGCAGCGGGTTGGCGGGGGGAGTGCCACCAGGTCAGCGATTCGTCCCCCAAAATTTCGAGAAGTGTGTTTTTTCTGGTTGGGTCTCACAAATTGAGGAAGCGAGCCCTGAGTGGCATTAAACACAAGCCATGTGAACAGATTTCACCTCTTTTTCTTTGCAAAGCCCAGAGTGCTACTGGTAGAAGAAATGAAGAGGTGGAATCAAAACAGTGCAGGCAGTTTGCAGAGTTTGTCTTCTCCCACATAAAGACTTTTGTTGTTGGTGAGGAAGACCAGAACTGGGGAGGTCCGAGCTTTCCCGTTTCACTTGAACACGTTGATTTCTGTTCATGATGTGGATCTGAGAAAATTCCTGCTGCACTGAACTGACATGAAATGTATTGTGATATGCACTGTATAATTTGTATGTAATATCTAATGATAGATTATAATTAAAACATATTAAATTAATACTTATGAGTTGTGTCCTTGTTGATTTTCAAGTTTGAATTAAAGTTGATTCAGTTATTGGCGGCTGTGTTCAGAGTCCCACGTGGTTGGAAAACCAAAGATAGTTTTGTTTTTTACCACCACAAGTAGTAAAAACTAGCTTACACGAAAAATACTGTGTGTTGTTGTGTTTTTTTGCCATGCACACTGTGACACATTAATCTGCATTAAAATATTATTTAATGAAAAAAGCTTCTTGGAAAGTTCAAAGTTAGATTCCAAGATTAGATTCCCAACATGTCTCTGGACATGTGGAAGTTTTCCTGAACCTAACATTACCTCTGAGTAATGTGTGTGAATGGCTCCATTCGGTTCGAGAACTGGACACAAAGACCACACAAATACGATAAATAAATGATCTCCTGGTGACTGGGGAAGTTTCCAAGCTGACTTCACGACTTCTGTGGAAGATTACTTAATCACAACATCCAATGAAATGACAGAAGAACTATAAATGGAAGACATGTCCAGGAAGTTGAATAATGTTGAATAATGCTATAAATCGGTTTAAATAATGTGTAACGTAATGAAAAAGTTGGTAAATATCCGCTAAAGGAGCATAAGAAATGCACATTCATCAGATTAATTAATTAGATTCGTTTGAACATTTTTAATGATAGTTTGTTCTAACATTTGGAAACAAAATAAAGGACATCAGAGGCTCGAAATGCTCTAAAAACTTTAATTGGCTGAAATCCTAAAGGTTTAAAAACCTACAGCTTTCAATGTACAATGGAAATCGTGTCCTTTTTGTAATGTTGATAAACCATTTATTCTGACATCTCCCTAACCTCTACTTTAAACATCAGCACATTTAAAACAGAAACAGTTGGAGCAGCAGTGTGAGTTCAGGGTCCTCTAACAAGCCCAGTCTATCAAACACTGAAAAACTGGTTCAACTCAAGTGTTTCCTCATAGTCTCTTTTCATTGGGTCCAAGTATACAGCCCCAAACTCAGAGTAGAATCCGAAACACGGGCGTGTGCTCGGCAGCTAAGCTGCAAACGGTGGAGATAAAGCTTTTAAAACCCTTTTTCGTGTCTTTCTTTGTCCTGAAGTGCTGGATCTTCTCAGTGGAGGATGCGGTGGAGGTAGCGGTCAGAGTCTCTGGCGCCCTCCAGCCTCACGCCCAGTCTCCATGACGACGGTTTGAAGGGGTTTTGCTTCTCTTGGATGTCTTCCTCAGTCGGCAGCTGGAATTCTTCCACACTTTTTGTTAAATCGACCTCCTCGTCTTCCAAAGTGTAGTCAGATAAAGGCTCCTCAACCCTGCAGAAGATAAAAAGTTTTAAATCCAGCCCCAGTTTCAGATTTGTAACCCTTTAAAGCCTCCTCCAAGAAAAATAGGAAGAGTATTGGATTTTTTTTTGTCTGAAGGCTTTCTTTGGCCCCTCAACAACATATGAAGAAAAAAAACAGAAATTATTTTGATCAAATTAGCGTGCAATAAGTCAAAAATATATGTTGGTGTAGTCTTCTACTGGCTGTTATCAGATATATCTGAATGTGTACAACAGGGGTTTGAGCAAAGCTTTTACCACTGAATGATGCAAAAAGTCTCAGATCCAAAAGACTTCAGAAACTGTATGAATCAAATATGACACATTTGGCATTATAGGGTTGACATATTCTGCAAATGCTCCTTTTTAGTCCTAATTCCCTTAATGTGGAACCAGTGGTCAGAGGGAGGTGTCTGACCTCCATGACACCAGCAATCAGAACCTCATGATTTACGGGAGTAATGGAATCCAGCAGAGAGACGAAAACCCGACAGCTGCTTCCTCCATCAGAGGAAACTGCACACGACCACTTTCCTATTGCTAACCATCAGAAAGCAGAACTGAACTTGAAAGTGTAAGGCTTATTATGTTTTTCAGGAGCCTCTCTGTATATTCGATCAGAACTTTAATCTACAGTCAAACAAAAAAAAAACTGTTATCTTGGATCTGATCTGACCGGTCCAAAAAAAAACAAAACCAGAGTTGACACATTGTTCAGAATCAGAATCAGAAATACTTTAATAATCCCAGAGGGAAATTATTCTTGGAATAAAAATTAGAATAGAATAATTAAATATACAAATATAATTAGAATAGAAATTGTTCTTGGATAAGATGGCAGACTTTTTAAAAAATATCAGCAAAGGTATTTTTCTCCAAGTATTCTCATCTAATATCCTATTTAAAGTAAATCTACTTTTACCAAAGGTAAAAAGGTGGCAAATAATAATGGAATATATGAAGATAGTGTGCCTGATAAACCCTTTGAACAGACTGACGGAGAACACTTATAAATTCCTCTTTAGTTTAGCTGCACTTGTTTCCAACAGTGTTTAAAGCAGCTCCGTCTTTCAGGATCAGCAGAACTCCAGGAAGACTAATTTCATCTGAGTGAGGAATGTGGAGAGTGACCACTAATGCCTGTGTGTGTGCTGCTCATTGGGCTTTCCCGGTACAACCACTGACCCTTTTGGTTGCAGGTTCTGGGGACTGAAAGGGCTGGGGTTACAGTAAAGTGTCCAGTTTTGGGTTAAGATTAGACTCAGGCTTCAGGCCTTTGGCTGCAAACACTGATCTGAAGTGTGTGTGATTCTTTTAAGAGCACAGACACTGAGAATGAGTCTAAAAACAGCTTTTGTTTTCTTTTTAAGAGAGCTTTAGCACGTCACTCGTGTTTTTATTTTCAGTCCTTGAATACTTGAAACGTAGACGTCATCTTGAACACGTGAGGCTAATTTTTTTTGTACCTGTTTTTGCACTTTGTATCAGCTACTTAGCCAAGAAGAAAAATTATACATAAATATTTCTGACAAATTTTATTTGAAGGATCAGAATGACAACAATTGAAATTTTACACATTTATTTATTTATTTATTTATTTATTTATTTATTTATTTATTTGAATAGGGACGAAGCACATTAATGAACATCAGTCAAAAACAAATGTAAATGTGCCGGATTATAGCTACAAAGCTCATTTTCATCCGTAGTCCCTAGGCAGGCAAAGGCATAAAAAATAACATATAATAAACATGATTAACTATTTATCCAACGTGTGTGGACACAGTGATATTTTTCTTTTATTTCCTGTTTACCTGCACTGGGGGTCCAGCAAGAACTTGTTAAATATCTGTAATGAGTCCTGTGGGGGGGCGTGTCACATACCTGAGGTATCCGAGATTTTATTTGAAGGATCAGAATAACAACAGTTGGTACATTTTGAAATTTTACACATGATTAACTATTTATCCAACGTGTGTGGACACAGTGATATTTTTCTTTTATTTCCTGTTTACCTTCACTGGGTCCAGCAAGAACTTGTTAAATATCTGGAATGAGCTTCATGTCATGTGACTTAAATTTACAGAATAATTGAGAGAAGAGTTGTTGCCTTTTAGCTTCTCAATGCCGTCCAACCCACCCTTATTTTTTATTTGTTTTATTTATTTATTTATTTATTTTAATTTTATTTTTTAAATTATTTTATTTTATTTTATTTTATTTTATTTTATTTTATTTTTTTCAATGTAATTATACTTATTTGGTCCTGTTTTTGTTATGTTAATACAGGGATTTATGTTCGCTACGGAGAAAGGGAAGGGAAGAGGGAAAGAAGGGGGAAAGGGGAGAAGAAAGAGGGAATGAAGAGGGAAGGGGGAAAAAAAACTGTGTAAAAAAGAAAACAAAAAATCGGAGAAGTCATGTAAGCTTTGTACAAGCTTTGTCATGTAAGCTTTGTATATTGATGTTACAATGTAACATCAATATATGTATGATCTCCTGATGAGCAAATAAATGATACACATTCAAAAAAAATATATATATATATCTGAAATGAGTCCTGTGGGGGTGTGTCACATACCTGAGGTATCCGGATGCTTTGTGCCACCTGGGCTCTCTGTGTCCCTCCATCCTGAGTCCAGATTTACTCCTCGCCCGGACCCTCAGGCCCACCAGAGCCTGGGCGAGCCCCACATCATCCCCCGCATCCTCCTCTTCTTCCTCTTCCTCCTCCTCTCCTCCTCTCTCCTTTCCCTCCTCCGCCCCCCCCATCCCTCTCCACACCCTCTTGGCCCGGTGCTCGGCGTTCCGGTCCCCGGCCGTCCGGAACAGCCGGTGCAGCTGCTGCAGGTTGGTCCCCGAGAAGATGTGGGAGCACCCCGACTTCCTGCTGCCGCGGGGGGGGGGCC